CTGGTTTCAAAGGTAAACTGCACTGTAATGTTCTGTTGTTGGGTTTATTAGTATCAATTTTGTTCGTGAGTTGAGTTTTGTTGTGGGGAATATTAGAGAGTTTTTCAACAATAGCTGGTGGAAATTTATTGGTGTGAATGAAGGAATGCTTTATGTGGTTAATTTCTTCATTTATGTAGTCCATTGAACAGAGTCTTGTGGCTGTGTTTATGAGGTTTTTGAGTGTATTGATTTTTAGTGTGATATCATGAGCGGAAATCCAAGGGATTTAGAGGCAGTGTGTGTGTGTTCTTGTGGTGAATTTTGGTTTTAAACTGTGTGTCCGATCTAATAATGTTGAGGCTAAGAAAAGATAACTGTTTATTGTTTTCGTGTTTTATGGTAAATTTGATGTTGGGATGAATGGAATTTATGTGTTTAAAGAAAGTTAGTGTATGTTCTGTAGAAGCGAAACCAGGAAAAGTGTCATCGACATATCTGTACCAGTATAGTGGGGGATGAAGCGCAGAATGTATGGCTTGTGTTTTGATCTGGGTCATAAATATATTGGCAAGAACGGGCGAAACAGGATTGCCCATACTTAAATCATCTATTTGAACGAAATGTTCGTTGTTGATAATGAAGTTGGTTTTATTTGTTGTAAGTTCTAATAGAGAAGCAAAAAAGTGTGCTGGGGATGTGCATTAACTTGTTGGGGTCATTGATGTAGAGGACGAGTGCAATATTGCCAGCTTCATTGGCGGGGACTTCGGTGAAGAGTGATACGACATCAAAACTAGCCATTTAGGCTTTCGAATTTAGCTGGTCTGATGTATATTTGAAATTAAAGGCATCTTTAAAAAATGAACCTGCATATGGTTTGAGAGCCCAGGCTATGTATTTGCCAAGATTGTAGTTGAATGAATCATAAGTGGACAGTATGGTTTAGGTGTGGTTTAGGAATGCCATAGAGTTGTGGTGTGCATGAATCAGTTTTACGTAGATAAAAATAAAGATCGTCAGTAATTAAATTATCTTTTTTCATTTGTAATAAAGTTCTGTTTAGTTGTTTTTCGTGTGTGTTTGTTGGATTGTTTGGGGTGGCTTTGAATTTCTTTTTATCGGAAAGGATGTCGTTCATTTTGTTGATGTATTCTGAATTGTTCATAATTACAGTGGTGTTGCCTTTATCAGCTTTTATGTTAAACTTATATTAGAGTTTTTCTTCATTACCCATCCAAGCCGTCTCCAAGCATTATTAGTCTCAAAGTGGGTTTCTCGTCATCGAATGTGAAACCACCCAATGTTTTCAAATGTCCCGCCAATATCTATATTCCCTATCTTGGAAAACAGAGCCTACAACTAAAGCAAATTTAACTACCCTCAACTTAAACTGAGAGTACTTTTTAAGCCTACTTTCCACGTTAAACGACTTATTTCCTTTCAAAGAAAATCCACCACTTTCCTAGCGCTTATTGATCATAAACAGAAACACGCGCGATGATTGTATAGCAAAGTAGGTTGGTAAGACTAAACGCCATCTTGCTGTCCGAGTCTGTGGACATGACCAGGTGTAAGTAAAAAACTGGATCTATACTCTCCATCCCTCTGCACCTCCGCCATTCGCACTCACAAAGACAACACCACATTACTTTGGATAATCTTACAAATCTCGATTTAAACAAATCCGTCATGGATTATTAATCGAAGAAACGTCTTTGATCAATACATATCGACATACTTTTAATCACATTGCTAGCTTCTGTGAACTAAAACTTCTATGATTTGGTTCATTTCTATTTTCTTCTTCTCCTCTCTCTCTATTTATATATATTCTAACTTTGTTTCAATAACTTACGTTATTCTTAGAAGTTAATTGACTTGGTCAACGTTTGCCTTTTTTATTACACAAAATGCAATGCTTAATTGCTTTCACGATGAACATGAATAAAGTACAATTCAAAACAACTGGAATAAAATGTTGTTTGTTTTTACCATCCTCTCGACTTTCGTAATCAGTTTAAGATTCACTACAAATGAATCCATTGCCAGTATCTTAACAAGATGTATCACTAAAAACGAAGAAAAAGCCGAATAGTATTTGAGAACACAAATTCTGAAATACACAGAGAAGAAATAAGCAGTAGAATAAGCATTTATAAACCATGAAGAAGAGTATACAATCAACAATAAAGTAAACATTTTTATACATAATACTGAAAATAAAATACTGATACATTATCGCAGCTTAGGATACATTAAGTACACATTGATGGTTGTTTGTCATTATTCTAATTAAAACAGTTTTAGTTAGAAGGATAGATGGTTATTATTTAGATTAGGGTGGTTTTTCACAGTTAGAATATTTTCTTTAATGAGAAGTTCAAGGTATTTAGTTCTAGTATAATGATGTTAAAGTTGTTAATTCAGATTTTATGACCTATGGTTTATTCTTATGATTGGATTTCTGAACGAAAGGGTTTTACTGTAGCCTAGGTCAAGTCTAGTTTACTCAATATCCTTATAAATACTTATAGATTCTAGTTCAAAATGGTCTTAATTTTACCAATGTATGCTACCTTACAGTCACTTCATTTGTATATGAGCCCATGACCAAGAAGTGTCGATAGTCGGTCTTATATTGAAATAATTTTTGATTTGGAAATTATACTTAGAGATACCTCTAATTAGAGTAGAAATTATATTTCAAAAAGTGGATATTTATGTATATAAGCATATACATCTTTATCTCATTCTTACGTCGCCATTATACTTCCTCGTGGTTCGCGAATCAATAAAATATTATTAGTAAACAAAACTAAAGAGAAAAGGTAGCATTTCAGTATGAAAACAAATTTAAAACAGCTGAACTCATTTTTTTTTCGTTGAAACTTAAAACAAATGTTAATAATAATGTTTTATTTGTTTCCAAATAGTTTCCGAGAAAGCTAAAATTCCCAAAGAGGGTCATCAGCTACTTGATTTGATGTTAACTTCACTCAAACATACCTCAGGAAAAGACATCACTCCGAAGACCGAGTGGATTAAGTTTCATGTTCAGCACCATCTGGAGAAGGTAGAACAGCAAAAGCAGGAATTGTTGGATCTTATCAAACTGAAGCTTCTCAGGTTACAACAAGTGACACAACTTCTCCGGTGTGAAGAAGATGCTGAACAGGTACAAGATATAACATGATCCAATTAAAATTCGATGACGAGGAACCCACTTTG